AAGAACCATTTGCCTGCTTAAATGGTTCTTTGCATGGTGAAATGGTTCCGGAACTGATGGAGAATGTGTTGCGTATAGTTCTATACAGAAGCTTTTGAAAAGCGTTCTGTGTAGCATCATACCAATAGCAGAAACCTTATTGGTGCCATATAGATCCATACACAACACGTTCTCCATCAATCTGAAGGAACATTTCACCATGCAAAGAAGTATTTAAAGCAGGCAAATGTTTCTTTGAGTGTTCATGATTCAATATAGAACCACTGTTTTACTAAAGAACCCTTGAAGAACCATCTTTTTCAGAAGCGTAACGTTACTGTCTTACGGTCATCTATAATTGTGTAGCATGTTATTCTACTATAATACTTTTTTATGAGGAATATATAAATGAATGAACTCATTCAAATCGCATTACCTTTCCAAGAACAGTGTGTAGCGCTGATTGGTTAATCTTGATACTCATAGTAGCCAGTATGTGACACAATGATACAGGACACACTGAACACAGGGGCTGCTGGCTAAAATTATTCTTGGCTTCATAGCCTGTGATAGACTTTTTACAGGCATATTTCCATACTAGCAGTCAATTATACAGCCAAACGAGCCCATTACCAACTAAATAGTAAATGATACAACTCACCTTTGAGAAAAGATGTTGTTGATTGTGATGTGTGTTCAGCTGGCTGTGAGTACTACACAGATAAATAACAGCTGACATTTTTTAGATTTTATTTTGAGTTTGGAAATTCAGAACATATTCATGGAAAACACTGCCACGCCGCTAAAGAAATAAAAGCTTGACTGTTGTAACGAGCACAGCAGTGATTGGAGGAAAAATAAGGCTTGAGACTGGAATGTCAAAGGAAGAGATGTTTAGATGATTCTATCTTATCCCAACTTATTCTGTTCTATGTTATCTTATACTAACTTATTCTATCTTATCTTTTACTAACTTATCTTATACTAACATATCTTATCCTATCTTATCTTACACTAACTTATCCTATCTTATACTAACTTATCTTACATTATCTTATATTTATTTATCTAATGTGGAAGAAGGGGTGAAAGGAAAGGAAGGAGAAGCTAATGATAGAGGAGAAGGAAATGAAAGGATGAGGGGATGAAAGGATTTAAATTAGTGCTGGGATGTTAGATGGACTCCAGGATCTCCAGGAGCTGCTGAATGTGATAGTACAGATGCTCCCACACAGTAGCAGCCAGGCTCCAAGAGTCTGCATATACGCACTCCTCCAGAGAAAATATGTCATCGAGGAGGAGAGACATCTCGTTCTGAGAGACAGAGAGAGAGAGAAAAAGTGTTACCAAATGTGGTAAACTATTCTGAAGTGCTAGAAGAGAGTTCTAAAAAAGTTCACTTGTGTATTGTGATGGATACTGATGGTTACCTGAATGTGGGACATGTACTCCTCAGCCCTGGGCATTCTGTGCTCGGTGACTGCAGAGATCGAATACATCATGGCCATCAGATGAGAAAGAAAGCCTCTTGGCCACTGGAATAGAGTGAGAGATGAAAAAGATGTGAGCAATGCCATGTAGTTACTTTATGCTCTTATGGATCAGCACTCTCACAGTACTGATCTACAATCAGTGTTCAATCAGGCTTTTACATCTTATTGAAAATGACATATAAATGCAGATGACTGATCCTACATCAGCACTCTGAGATACTCTATACTGTTCAAACCCTAAGCCTGAGCACATGACATACACTCTACAGCAAAAACAATTTCTTACTGAAAAGATTGGTGGCCTCGCTCCTCTCAGGACTCCAAGCAGCACCAACTCATAGATGATGTCTATAAAGTTGAACTGCTGAATCTGAAAGTAAAAGAAAACATTAGCGTCACAGCACAAATCACTGTGACATCAGCTGTACAAATCACAAAAACTGTTGCTGATCTGACTAAAGCACAGCTAGTCTAACTTACTCCAATCTCAGCCAGCTCAATTTGAATCCACTCAACGTTAGAAGGATTCTGAGCAACAAGCAACAAGTGGTCATACGTGTCCCGGAAGAGAGCTAGATTCTGCAGAAAGAAGATAGATATTCTAAATGTCAGCATTAAACCATTTAAATCATACTGATTTGTTTAGTAAATGTGTGTTCATGATCACTTTGTTACCCTTGAGTTGAACGTGGCCACTCCACCAAGAATCAGTCTGCCAGCACGAGAGATGTAGTGATAATATTGTGAGTTGCTTAGAATGATCTATAGAGTGAAACAGAGAAAGGAGTGTGAGGGAGGTAAGGGCAGGACACACATTACTACTAAAAGACAGCGAGCCTAAAATGTGAGAAATGATGTGGTGCACTTACGCTGAAAGCCTGTCGCAGGGCAGCAAGTCGAAGAGGAAATTTGTGACTCCTCTCATTCATGAAGTAGTTACTGTGGAAATGCAATACATATGACGTCAACATTTACCAAATAACCTTTAGTGAAAATGAATGAAAACACAATGTTACAATACTTACTACAAAGCGGGCACCTGGTGGGCACCACCAGAGATGGACTGGGGCTGGGGGGGTGAGGTGGACTGTCCACGCATAGGAGACCATGCAGAATAAGTGGGTGGATCCCAGGGTGGAGAAGTAGGCTGGGGCTGAGGAGGAGAAGTGGACCCATCCCATGATAGAGAAGTGGGTGGAGTCCAGGGTGATAAAGCTGGCAGTGACTCAGGAGCACAAGTGAACCCATCCCATGATGGAGAAGTGGGAGGAGTCCAGGGTCAAGCCCAGGATGAAGAAGTGGACGAAACCCATTGAGGTGGTGAAGTGGGCGAGCTGGTGGTGAAGCAGTCATGTCTGAGTGAGGAGAACTGGGTGTGGCCTGAGGTGGAGTAATTGATGGGTCCCATAGTGAAGTGATCTCTGCACAGGGTGAAGGGCTGTGTATAACCTCACCATTCTCCTCAATGACTGCCTACAATAGAGAGCACAATATACATTTTAGTGGTCAGTCAGCACATATACAGATATAAATATATTAATAAACAGTTACTTCAAGTAAGTGTGGTTTAATGACTAATTTACCTCAACCTAGGCTCTATTAAGTAGCCTGTATTCAGAGTCAGAGTCAACTACCTACCAACACCTTAGCAACCACCTGTGATACCATAGCAACCACCTAGCAACATTTTAGCAACCACCTGGGATACCATAGCAACCAACTTGAATTCCACAGCAACTACCTATCAACACGCTAGCAACCATGTAAAATATTATAGCAACCACCTGGCAACAACTTAGCAACCTTTCTCAAATAATTTATGCTACAGAATCTCTCTGATTTTCTTCAGGAAATGCACTATTCTAGTTAAATAATATGAAGCCTAAATATTGTTAATTATTATTATCATAAACAGTCAGTTTGGAGGTTTTGTTGATATTCAATAATGTTTAAAAAACCATTCAGTTTCCAATGCCATCCCATAAGACCGAGTCCAAATGATGATGCGTCAGACCAGCCAGTGAGACACGTTCACCAGCTGCTCTGCTGTGCTGAATGTTAGCTGCTCAGTAAACATCTCCAAGAGAAAGTTTAAAGTATTTGTTGATTATGGATGCATTTACTGAGGTAAATTAATGCATTTACTGAGGTAACAGTGGAACGGAAAATTCAAACGAGAAGCTGGCGAATAAGAAGCGAACTTATACATATATGATGTCCCATTCTAAATCGATAGGCTTTAATACTGACTTGCCCCCCACCCCCTTTCTCAGCTATAACAGCTTCTTCTAGAAAGCTTTCTACAATATTTTGGAGTGTGTCTGTGTGAATGTTTGTCCATTCATCCAGAAGAGCATTTGTGAGGTCAGACACTGATGTTGGAAGAGAGGGTCTGGCTCGCAATCTCCGTTCTAGTTTATCCCAAAGGTGTTCAGTGGGGTTAAGGTCAAGGCTCTGTGCAGCCCAGTCAAGTTCTGGTTGGTATAATGGTGGTGGGTATCACCTCTGCCTTTAATGCTGTAGACTGGGGTTCAATCCCCTGCTCAGGCAAGGACCCTAAACTATACCAATAAGAGTCCTTGGGCAAGACTACCTTTGCCTGTGCGAAACTGATCACATTGCAAGCCACTCTGGATAAGAGTGCCTGCCAAATGCAGACCAAACTCACCCAACCTTGTGTTGTGCACCGGGGCTCAGTCATGCTGGAACAGGTTCTTCACCAAACTGTTCCCACAAAGTTGGAAGTGTACAGTTGTCTAATTTAGGGGCATTAAGCTCTTGAAATCGGGTCATGCTTCTTTTTCTATTGCAGGACAACATGAATTCGTCATCATGTCGTCGTATAAACAAGATTTGTGTGTTTGCTAAGAAAACGTACTATACTATACTAGCTTATATAGGCCAAGTGATAAAATAACACGTAGATGAACATGTTTAAATATTTCTGTATGGGCTCTTTCACAGCACACAGTAAATCTCTATATCAGTCTCACCAGATAAGCTGGTCTAATTATCTGGTCTACTATTTTTAAATATGGCTCTTTTAAGCATGTTTCTCGCTTACGGCCACACCACCCTGAGAACGCCCGATCTCGTCTGATCTCGGAAGCTAAGCAGGGTCGGGCCTGGTTAGTACTTGGATGGGAGACCGCCTGGGAATACCAGGTGCTGTAAGCTTTTCACTACTTTTTTATTTTGTAATTTTAACTTACTCATTTATTCATTATCTTCTCTTTAGTGCCAAACTCGTCCAGTATGTGCTTATCATACCGATAAGGGCTTATCGGTAAATTAACATACAGGACATGTGAATACAGCACACAGTTCAAATAATATTGCCATTGAATTTAATATTAAATTATACGTATTATAACATTAAAGTCATCGTAAATCATGTATGATTTCATAATATTGTTAATAAAGTCTTGTGAATTTTTTTATTTCCCGATGAACAAACACCCTTTTTCTAAATGAATCGTGTTGAAACTGCTGAGTGTCGTTGCTCAGATACATAAACAGAAGCTGGTGTTCTCCACACGCAGTGAAAGGAAAGAAAGGAAACTGCTCTGCTGTCTGGCTGCTGTTAAAGCCTGACTAGCTGAACCTAATGGGATTCTGTTTGTGCCTCGGACCAAAGGACTTTCTCTTAAGATTATAAATAATCGGGAACATATAAGTATGAGAAGCTGTGGTTTCTCCATCGATCTGCCGATGCCGGTACGTCCTAGCTAGCTAAAGTTAGCATGCTAACGTTATCTAGCCAGTGAGCGTCCCAAATGCCTTTATCTTGCTAGCAAGCTAAATGTCCACTATAAAATTAAAATAAAGTGTAAATATATCTACGTAGAGTTGCTTGGTTTGTCACTTATTATTTAACGTTAAAGCTGAGATAAAAGCGGCATCATGTTTGAATGCCTAAGTCACATTAAGTTAACTTGAATCGAGTTTATGTCATCGGGCTGACTGGCCGAATTCAGGAATGTGCTAAATGTTCAGAAAGATATAAACTAGCTGGTTTGCCAAGAGCTGACTCTGTAGCCCTGTTTTAACTGTAACAAGCTAACTTTATTAGTCTTCTGGTAAGAGAATTTTTATGTTTTTTTTTAAGTGGTTCATCTGGGATCACCGGAATAGCTTCATGTCGTTTAAGGTTTGCAAAGAAATGTCTACGAGAAGCATTACCTGGCCAATGCTTGTACACTCGTGTGAAAATGGAGGACGATGATACTGGATTAATCCCACCACCCAGAATGATGCATGCCCCATTTGAAGATGAGAAGCCCCTCTTTCATGCTAACCAGAGGCCTCCTGGTCCATCTAAACCATTTGTGTTGTCCGAACATGGTCACCAAGTGCCATACACAATTAACAGATATTTAAGAGATTACCAGCGGGAGGGGATTAAGTTCATTTATGACAGTTATATGAAGTCCAGAGGTTGCATCCTGGGTGATGACATGGGCCTTGGAAAGACCATTCAGGTACACTTATATACTTGCTTATTTATATCTACAGATCTAATCAAGAAGTGAACCAGAGAGCCCTGTTTGATTGCGTGATTTCATCATTTAATCTCCTTGTGTTTGACAGGTAATCAGCTTTCTGGCTGCCGTTCTGCAGAAAACAGGGACTTGGGAGGATGTGGAGAATAACAGGCCAGAGTTTCTGCAGTCACAGAGGTCCTCAAAGCAGTCCAGAATTAAGAAGGTAGCTTAATTTACTGTTACCTTTGTCTATGCCTTTTTTTATGTGAATACATTTGTGACTGGCTTTCATGATGAATGATTTTAAAAATAGGTTTTCCTCATTGTGGCGCCACTGTCAGTGCTGTACAACTGGAAAGATGAGTTGGACACTTGGGGCCATTTCAAAACTGTCATCGTACATGGTGTCAAGAAGGAGGAGGAACTGGCCCGTGTGAACAGAGGAAGATGTGAGATTGCTTTGACCACATATGAGACCCTTAGACTCTGTCTAGACCAATTCAACAGGTACATGGCTAAAGAGTTTTTCCTAGGGCATCTATCTTACCTCGTCATCAGTCACAAAAAATGGTTGATATATCGGCTAATAAATACAACCAAGCTAATTTTTGTCGCCAAGCGTAATAGCAGAAAAAACTGTGATTCTGTCTTTATTCTGCACAATGTGGGTACCAGAGACACTTTTTATCCTTTGAGGTGGAGAAACAAAGCCAAACTGAGGTAAAGCATCTAAAATAGCCAAGTAGCTTTTGGCTTGTTGGTCATTCTCATTGGATGAGGTATAACTGTCATTTGAGTAACCCATTCTTTCCATTATAATGATGATTTGACAGTGGCTGTAATATGATATTTGGCTTCCTAGCAGTCATTTTAGCTCTCCTTCTGCATTCACCAGCTAATGGGAAAAAATCAAACAGTTCACCACCTAAATCCACCCCAAAGCAGTCGTAGTGTTTAAAAAGGTTCTTCTGCTGTCAAGGCACATTATAGCACAGGTACTGCTGTAGGAGGTAAGTAGACATTACAGCAGATATAGTGATGGTTACATTTTTCGTTTGGCTGGAGTGCCCCACCGTAAGGACCCATATATAGGGCTCATACTTATATTCTTCGCCCTCATACCTACATAATCTACGTGTTATTTTTGGGAACTAACATATGATAACTTATTGTAGTTATTGTATTATAGGATTTATGGTTAGTAACTAAATAATAAGACTACAGTATAAGTGATAGTTGACTGTTTGAAATAGTATACTGTGTAGTGTATACTATATACTATACCAGTGCTGTCTACTGTGAACTGCTCTTTGTAGTAGCATGCATTATAGTGTTCAGTATGCGACACTTACTATCATGTATTGTGTATTAAAGGGTCACATGATCACCAGGCAGCTATATCCACCTGAAATGCATTGCATTATAGGATGCAGTACATCACAAAGATACCGCTGGCTGCATGCTGTAATATTTGGCCAAAGTAGTACATTATCTGGGCTTCTTTGACATATTGGAGAAATTAATGTTAACGTATGATTACGTAATGTTAACGTATAATTAATGTCACATACTGCAAACAAACTTTCTGTTCTTCTACACAAGCAGTTTGTAGTAGGCTACTTTGAAGACAGCCATTGATTTACTTTTTTCTCCACAGCATTGACTGGGCCGCCGTCATTGTGGATGAAGCTCACAAGTTGAAGAACTACAAGTCCCAGATCACTCAGGCAATGAAAGAGCTGAAATGTAAAGTACGTGTGGGACTGACGGGAACAATCCTCCAGAACAACCTGGAGGAGCTCTGGTGTGTCATGGACTGGTGAGTCACGGGTAGATCCTGCCATTTCCAGCTTGAATTTTAAAATGCATCATCATACCTCATCTTATTTTGTGGTTTTAGGGCCATCCCTGGATGTCTTGGTTCACTGGGTAGTTTTAAGAACAAGTTCTCTGACCCCATTGAACAGGGCCAGAAACACAGCGTGACGAAGAGGGCCTTAGCAGAGGGCCGCAAGGCTGTTCAGACTCTAGCTAAAAGACTGTCACGCTGGTTCCTCAGGAGAACCAAGGCCCTCATCAGTGATCAGCTGCCTAAGAAAGATGATAGGGTGAGCGATCTGTCAACTAAACTTATTTATGTGCTGTTTGAAGAAAGTAACAAGGCTCACAGCTACAGATTGATCAACTCTAGCATTAGTTTTCTGTTCAGAGTGTCTGTATTTATGTATATATCAGTGAATGCATTTACATGCACTTAATAATCCGATCATAATCAGATTTCTGCAGTTATCTGATTATTCAAAATGTCATATAAACAGCATACTCCAGCTTCTTAAATGTATGTCTAGAATTCCACTGAGGAGAGCTGGATTTTAGCTCTGTAATCACATTTCTCTGCGCATGTGTGCTCTTAATCTGATTTCTTTTGGATTTCTCAGTCTGCACATGTGCAAAAACAGACCACAGTACAGGAAATAAGCAAGCAACGTTTAACACAGCACCCGCGAGATGGCAACAAAACACTTTTCGAGCGACGCTGAAACTACAAGCTTGACGAAATGAAGGATTTTAAATGTCGTTTATCTTTTAGATGATGTGTGTTCATATTTTTTAGGTGCAGTGGCTCGATGTTTTAAAAAAAACGTGATGAAGTTTGAGTTTTACATTACGTTTACATGAAGTCTTATCCTATGAGTTTATTGGCTGGTGCAAAGCAGGAATCCGATTTTTGCCTTACTTATGTAGACACGAAGTTTTCACATTATCTGACTACATTAAGTGCATGTAAATGTGTTGATCTAATTACTGACAAAATCTGATTTTCTGCTGTTACCTGATTATTAAGTGCATGCAAACACAGCCAGTATTTTGTAATTGCTACACTGGTCTCAGAAATCAGCAAATACAGTTTGATACAAAATATAGATGCACTCCTTTGAGTGGTCCTCATGAAAGATCCTAATGGTTGTTTTCATGTGTACGTATTCCGTTGCATTGTGTTGTGCTATGAACACTATTGAGAAGTACTTGCAAAATGCCATATTTGGGATTTAACATTCACTGTAGGGGATGTGACAACTTACTTTCCCTTTGAAAATCAACAAAACATGTAATTTGACTGGTCATATTCAAACTTCTTCATATGACTTTAATATAGTGAATGTCTTAGTATAATGTGCTACTTACTTCTTATCCTTGTCTTTCTTTAGGTTGTATACTGCTCTTTGACAGACTTCCAGCAGACAGTGTATCGTGCTGTGCTGGACACTGATGATGTGACGCTGCTGCTGCGGAGCTCAGAGAAGTGTCACTGTGGCAGTGGACGCTCCAGGAGGAAGTGCTGCCACAAGTACAATTCAGATGGTGTACCAGTCAGACACCTCTACTTCAGCTATCTTGCTATTCTGAGAAAGGTTGCAAATCATGTTGCTCTGCTGCAGACAAAAGAAGGAACCAGCAAAAAACAGGTGGGTAGTTGGAAGCATTAGTATTGCAGGTTTGTAACGTGTTTGTATTTAAGGAAATTAGTGCAGATGCAGAGGCTGTAGATAGTAGGGCTGAGTAATATGGCAAAATAGTGTCATGACACTGCAGCACTTCACAGTACATAATATGCATCATGATATTTAGTTTTTAGGTTTGGTTAGTTGAAACTGATAAAATGTACCAGCAAAACAGTCACTAAAAAAAATGGGTGCAGTCATTTTTATTCAACATTTTACATACAGCACTACACGAAAACTAATTAAACAAGACTAATTATTATTTTAATGAAACGTGCAGTTGGTCAGTGTTCTTAAGGTTCTGACAACATCTACGATATGCTGACTAATGTATCATGATAGTGATAGATATCCTTCTTTTGCCCAGCCGTATGTTTTAGCGTGAATGTGAATGGTTATAGACTAAATTGGAGTCGTCTGACAGCTATGCTTTCAAAATAAACACTTAATCCCCCTTCTGGAACACAACCTGCAGTTAACTTGAGGGTAATAAATGCGATGGACTGGCGACCTGTCCAGGGTGTATCCTGCCTTCCGCCCAATGACAGCTGGGATAGGCTCCAGCACCCCACCGCGACCCAGGAGGACAAGCGATTTAGATGATGTATATATGTATGTATGTGTATGTATGTAATAAATGCCATTAGAACACAGCTGTCAGTCTGTTGAGTCATGGACTAATGTATCAAAGCAGTCAACAGGGTGTTAAACATCAGTCAACATAATGAAATGTGTTGAACCAAAGTAAGGTTTTAACTGAAATCGGATTGGTATTATCATGCACCCCTTGTATTACGAGAGTATCAAACTAAAGTGTTTACTGAAATTGGCCACTTAGAACTTAGAGCCTTTGATGTGCTCATTAGTTTCTGTGGAATAATGACTTTGGGTTTTGTCTATCAGATGATTCATACATGTCATATGCTTTTTATTGTAGGAGAAATATGTGGCTGCTATCTGTGAGCAAGTCTTTAAAAAGTTTCCAGACTTTACAGAAAGATGCAAGCAGGCAGCGTTTGAAGCCATGTCGGACCCTATCTACAGTGGAAAAATGAAGGTAAGATATTTGAAATATGGACTTCAGTGCATGGGTTTTTTTTTTGTTTTACCGTTGTATTTATTTTTTTTCTCTCTATGAAGCATTGTACACGTTTTCTTCCGGTAATTTTAACACAGTTCTTAATACTGAGGCAGATGGGAGAGCACAGTCATAGTGTGCAAGTTAATGCCTAGTCTTTGTTGAATAAAAGAACATATTAATAACATAATGTTAAATTATACAAGAGCTGAGACATCACTATATTTATCCTTAAAGCCTTTTTGTCTAATGTCTGAATCCTGATACTGTGGTCTGATTATTGAAGGATTTCCTAAAATGTGCATCCAAACATAGGCATGATGTCTGTACAGAGGCCTGCCCAAGCACCCCCCCAAGTGCGTTCAACTAGCACAGCTCAACAGCTGGGGTTCTACGAAAGCTCATCTATGTTGTGCAGTAAATGTGCTGGTAATATAGGATATCACATACCCAACATGTTTCAATTATGTTAAAGTGGTAGGAATAAAAGTTGCTGTGGATTGCATGAAATCAGTTAAGGAATGAGATTTTTTTAATGCAGTCCTATTCTTAAAGCCAGTGTAGCACTTTTCAGTTCGCCGGTGTGGAGCCCAATCTGGCACCCCGTATCAGGCAAGCCATTAAAGTTGACTCCAAAACTTCACTGGTTTAATTCAGCTCTGTGCTAGCATTGTTGCATTTGTTTACAGATGTTTTGAAGTTAACAAAAAGTCAAGCATCTTCATATCTAACTATACCTTTTGAGGTTTTGCCCAGTGTTGTTGATTGACAGCTGTGATGTGTAAGATTCATCCAATAACACTGCGAAAACTGCGACTGGAAACCAAGGGAAGTGAAATCAGGTCAGGAATGTGAGATTGGGCACTACACTACTACATCTTTACAGTTGCAGTATGTTTTGCATCTGTCCTTTGTAAAAGGCAATTAAAGTTGAGCCTATGCATATTAACCAGTAACACTCAGTGTAGTATCTAAGACAAACTTCTATCCACAGTCAAAGCGAGACAGGAACAAAAGTGGAAAAAAGGCTTCCAAACCAGTCCTAGCAGTTGACAAAAACTGCATGGTTTTGTGGAGTTCATGGCTTTAATTCTTATATTAAATCATGACAGAGCATCAAAATTGTATCTCTCCTCAATCTACATCTGTTTTTAATGTGGCTGCCTGAGCTACGTTCTGAGTTGTTGTAAAATACTCAATATTGACATTTTGATATTATTGCACTCTGAAATACTTCTGAAGCTCTCTCCATGCACTCCCACAACTGTGCTTCCATTGATACTCAACCAAAATAGATCAACATGTCCCTTTTCAGAATATTGATTGCACAGCTGAATAGTTAGATGTGCTTAATGTGTTGATGACTTGCATGTGTGACCAGACATGTTTGAAAACATCATAGAAAAGACTATTTCATCCACGTTGACTTCTTACCAGGGAAATTTACTGTCAGAGCAGTTCAGGTGGGACGGTGTTCTGTTTTGGATCACTAACAGCACATGGGAAAAGCGTGGTAGTGCCACATCTCACCCAAATCCTAAAAAATGGCAGTAATCCTCATTTCTGAATAAAGAAGTATGATACTGCAATGCTGTTTGCTCCTAAGGTTGTGGTGAATCTGTACATTTATGTGTTACTTAAAACATCCTAACAGAGCTAAAGGGCTTTATCGCACAGTATTGAATACCGCAAAGTTGCACATTTTTACTGCCCTCAGCACTTGGTATGCTAAAACACAGTTCTCATTCTAGATTTTGTCCTGGTGTCAAGGACATGTACAATCCCTCCCTTGGCCAGATCTTGGCCTGGAGTGGTCTTGCCTCACTAGCTGTGGACACACTTCCATGGGAAATAACAAGGGCAGTATTTAGCCGTTCTTAAAGTCCCTCCAAAGACCCTTCTCCCGCCCTTGGTGGAGCATCTTGAGGGTGCTGTTATTGGCAGATGCTCTGTTTCTGGCACACTCAGCAGAGTAAACACTCTGCACATTCTTCTGCATCAGATATGGAAAGAAGGGATACAGTGGGCCAGTGTTAACGTTGAATCCCTCCTTCATTCTTCTTCTTTCAGAAAGGCATTGTTTTGCGATGTAGAAAACTGCCTTTGTTTGACCTCATTTGGTGCAGTGAATCATCTTTTTGTTTTCCAGGTTTTGCAAAGGTTACTGAATCACTTTATCAAGAAGAAAGACAAAATTCTCCTTTTTTCACTTTCCACTAAGGTGAGCTTGTAACCAAGTTATGTGTATAGCCTTAGTATAGTGGGTCTGCCTTAACATTTTTGGATGTTTTGATTTCTTAGGGAGGCTTTACTGAAATCTTTGTTGTAATTGAACCAAAAATGTGAAAGTTACAATGTGAAAGTAATACATATGTAAGTATGTGGTCTTGTATAAATAATTATAAATGCATGTCATATTGTTTCTTGGGTTAATGTGGATCAAACATACCTGAGGTCTCCTCCTACAGCTCCTGGATGTTCTAGAGAGTTACTGCATGGCTGAGGGTCTGGAGTACCGCAGATTGGATGGAACCACCAAGTCTAAAGAGCGCGTCCACATCGTCAAAGAATTCAACAGCTCCAATGATATTAACCTGTGCTTGGTGTCTACTATGTGAGTAAATAATGCATGAGAAGTATTGTAGTCATCTGTATGTTGTAACCCCGCGACCCAGAAGGATAAGCGGGTTAGAAAATGTGTGTGTGTGTGTGTGTGTGTGTGTGTGTGTGTGTGTGTGTGTGTGTGTGTGTGTTGTAATTTATTTTTATACTTTTTATATTTTTACTGAGGCCCAACTGATATATCGGTTTTGCTGGTATTGGTAATAACATTGCAGATCATGTGCAGCTGATAATGTATGCTGAACTGGTAAATCTGCACACAAAAACTGTCATGATTAGAACAGGAAAAAAATATGAAACCCATATCCAAACCTAACAATCAGCAAAAAAAAACACATGACATACTCCCATTTTTATTGAGAGAACTAATGAAAAATAAATATTATAATATTATATATTATAATATAATAATTAACAGAAACCAAATCTGCAAACTATTAATAGCTCTGCTGTGAGTGCTTCAATATTTATATTACTTAAAACTGATTTTCTGCTAATTATTTGAATTTTAGAAGTGTGACAATTGAGAACTGACACTATAGCCACAAAACTTTCACATCACGTGCCCTGTTTTATACATGATATAGCAGTATTTTTTGAAAAAGTGAATAATTACTGTAACTCAGCTGTAACAATTTCACATATTATCTCTTTTGTTTATTTACTTATATTTACTGATATTTTCTTGCTTTTTTATTATTTAATAATTTCATATCATTATTTCTTCTTTACTAAATTATTGAAATACTTTAATTCTGAAACTGCTCTTAATGTTTCCTTCAAGGGCTGGTGGTCTCGGACTCAACTTTGTTGGGGCTAATGTTGTTGTTCTGTTTGATCCCACATGGAATCCAGCGAAATGACCTTCAGGCTATTGACAGGTAAGATGGCACTGCTAGTAGCAGAGTTTACCTGGGAGTCAAAATCAGTTGTGCTATGTGCTGTGGGCACTGTTTATAACAAGTAAATTGAGAAAAATGGATAAAAAAAAATCATAATCACAGTTTCCAGCATCAATGTAAGTGCTTTTCACTGTTTTGTTTTACTATAAAGGGCGTATCGCATTGGGCAGTGTAAGGATGTGACTGTCTTTAGGCTCATCTCTCTGGGCACAGTGGAGGAGATCATTTATCTACGTCAGATTTACAAACAGGTACACATACTAGTCTCAATAGATAACCAGTTCTGTTAACATAATACGTCAAAGATGTGATTAGAAGATAAAAAAGTGACTTGTATATTTTCACTTGTTGTTACATTGTCAAAAGCTTTTAAAGGTTCTGTTTCACAGACAGCAAGAGTTTGATGAGTTTGATAGCTAGATAGATAGATAGATAGATAGATAGATACACACAATCACACCAATGTCTGGTGTGAACAAAAGAAGCTAATGAAGTACACTGAATGAGTTTCTTTATTAATTGGGCGATGTAGCAACTGCAGTCATCTGTGATTGGGAGAGAGAATGCGAGGAGGTACTTTGAGGCAGTGCAGGGTGCAGATGGCCAAGCAGGAGAGCTGTTTGGTATCCGGAACCTCTTCCAACTGCAGACTGACGGAACATGCCTTACGTCACCGTGTTCTGGAGGTTAGAATATTGATCTTATCAGCTTATTGTTATTTTGTGTCCTAACTGAGTTTTATTTTAAAGGTTCTTTTAGTGATGATATAGAAGAACCACTTTTGGCTCCCTAAAGAAACATGTTTGAAAAAGACATTTGATAAAACTATTAAAACCTTACAGAACCTTCATATAATGTAAAGGTTCTATACCAGTTTAACAGTTCTTCATACCTTTACCTTATATGGTAGTTCTTTAAACTTAAAAAAAAAAAGTTTTTCTTCTTTACAAAAATGATTTCTAAACAGATATCCATTGAAAGTTTTTGTATGGAACCAAAAGTGGTTCTATGGCATCATGCAAAGAACCATTTTTGGCACCTTTGTATTTTTAAGAGTGTATGTACAACAGCAATAAAACATTTCAGTTTGAACTTTCAGCTGAAAACTAAAGAAATCAGATGTATGATGCTGTATGATGCTGTTAATGAGCCATTACAAAGAATTCTTTTTCACCGACATAATGGAAAATGCATGTGTGCGTCGCAGAGGGAGGGCCGAGTCGAAGCGGGGATCATGACAGCCAGCACGCAGGCAACGGAGGACGGGATGCGAGAGCCGGTGAGTAGCCGCTCTTTCATAGACCCATGACAGGAACACTCCTCTTTCCCATCCATCTCTCCCTTCCTCATTCCCAGACATCCCACCATCTCTCCATTCCCACGGTAAAGATGGGTACAACAGCCAACACATGGTCGTAATTAACCCCCCTCCCTGGCTTACTGGTGAAGACCACACGGAAGTGTGTGCTATCTTTACTGCGTTTATTTACGCAGCAGAAGAACTTATCTAACTGTCCCTCTTCGAGGAACTTCTCACATGTGGGTCTCCTAGGAGACTGAAAACAGAAAACACTCACAGTTAAAGCCTGGAATATAATTATGACAAACCAAGTGTTGGTGGATAAGTCATATAAACAGCTGTCAAACAGTGTGATACAGTATTGTTTCTTTTTGTAGGAGTGTAAAAATGCGTAGATGCATTGTCACGTATCGCTCTAAAGGTTTATTCGCTTGCATTAATTTTGAACCTTAAAAATTGCTTATAATCTTAGTTATATTCAGTGAAGTATTTGCCTGTTTTTTTTAGCCAAAATACAATTTTATTGCTTTTTCAAATATAAAAATGAGTGTTTTGTTTTTATTGCCCATAGTCCACTGTTGCTCCTCTAGTTAGGTGTTTATTCTAAGTAGTCTGAATAGAATCATACTGGAAATTTGAAAAGCCTGTATAGTTGTTTTTCAGTTTCTGTCAAATAAAGTTTTTGCCAAATTATTATATACATTTCAGTCACCTTCCATTTTAGTTTTGGGTCTCATTATTTGGAATTGAGCTGAGAGAGTGACCATAATTTACTCCCTCTTGCACCCCAGAATTGAGCATTTGCAAATTCTAACATGAACTGTCCAGTAGAGAACTGTGAGAAAGGGAGGTGATTTCACAGTTTATGAATATGCAATATAAGGTTGCCTTTGATTCACTGTAGTTGATTAGTGTTATGTATGATGTCTAAAGTAACACTTTGGAATAAATTCCAAAAAGGGAAAGGGTGGCTAGGGGCCAATAAAGCGATTTTAAAACGTCAGATGTCATTATATTACATTATACATTTCACAGTGCACAACATTTGTAAGTATATGACATGCTACTAGATAGAGATTTTTAAAAGGAGTGAAAATACTGTGCTGACCTCTAAGAGTTCATGCTTTGAAACATTTCTTAAAGATTTGTGATTTGCAAATCGTTGCAAAGTCAGACATTTACATGCATAATAGTTGTGATCATTCATTGATAGTTTAGCAGCTCTGTAGGCAACTTTATGCTCATAGACTGCATAAATTCACACCATAAGTTTTTTTTTTGTCCCCTGGTTTAAAACAATGTAAAAAAAAAAATGTATGTGCTGTGTGTCAATGCAGGTTCCTCTATCAGGAGATGGCACTGCAGAGCAGGTGGATGGACCAGCAGCAACACACAGCACCAGCTCCAAGCTGGCTGATGCTGGAGTCCTGGACTTTAGCAGTGCCAGTGAAGACGAGGATCCTTGCAGCTCCAAATCCAAAGCCACCGACCCGAACGCAGGAGAGGAGTCTGGAACCAACACTGGTTGTGGTAATATAGGCCTTTCTGCTTTGCTGCAGAAACATGCAGTTGACAGGACACAAAGGGACTCAGGCAGCAGTGAGGAGAGCGAGTCTGAGGAGAACGTTGAGGGTTGGGACCCAGAGGAGCCTCAAGCAGCTAAAAGGAATGGTGCTCAGGCAGGCTGGTCCCTGTCCAGTGACTCAGAGGAGGAGAGAGAGAAAGCTCCAGGCAGGAGAGTAAAGAATGCTGAGTCCACTGACCATGCAGACCATTATGTGCATATGGAAGAGTCAGAGGATTTGAACGTTCTCCAGCATCCTTATACTAAGGCCCAACAGAGGGAGAGAGAGGGTGGTGGTGAAGAGCAGAGGCAGAAGAAGGTCAAATTTGCAGCAAGAAGACGTGAGGAGGAGATTAAGAGTTTTACCTCTTCCGAGGATGAAGCTCCAGTGAGAAGAGTGAAGTCTAAGCAAAGTCATGCCTCATCTCCACAGCACAAAAAATCTTTGAGTACACACAGCGCTGCTCAAAAATCCGTCAGGTTTACAGGCGTAAAAAGCGCAACCCCTCAACCACGATCCAGCACCAGCACTGGAACCATAGACACTTTATTAGGTACATTTTAACAAATTATTCAATCTATGTCATTACAGTAAATTGCCCCTTCCTTATTTTCACTGTTGGTGCATAGTTGTCACAGTGAATGCTTTGAGGTCTTTAAACAAGGAGTAACATATAAAGCTGCTCTATGTACATTTTTTTTTGAAGAGTATTCAAAGAGAATTTGTCAAAATTTGGTCAAGAGCGTGTCTTCTGAGGATGTAAGCATATCTACATCAGTGGATTAATTTTGCATTTGAGACCTAAACATTTAAATCCGTCTAAATCCGTCTCTGACTTTTAAATTATTGTTTCAGGCTGTACAGGGTGACTCCCAGCAGCAGCATGTTTTCTCCAAGCTCAGTAAAGTTATATTTTTAACAAAAAAACCTACATAGTTCAACTTTAACAAGAAGAACATCATCAAACACACAGCACATTTACACCAATCAGGCACAACATTAATACCACCTCCTTGTTTCTACGCTCATTGTCCTTTTTATCAGCTCCACTTACTATATAGGTGCACTTTGTAGTTGTACAATTACAGACTGTAGTCAATCTGTTTTTCTGCATACTTTGTTAGCCCCCTTTTACCCTGTTCTTCCGTGGTCAGGACCCCCATGGACCCTCACAGAGCAGGTACTATCTGGGTGGTGGATCATTCTCAGCACTGCAGTAACACTGACGTGGTGGTGGTGTGTTAGTGCATGTTGCGCTGGTCTGAGTGGATCAGACACAGCAGTGCTGCTGGAGTTTTTAAACACCTCAGTGTCACTGCTGGACTGAGAATAGTCCACCAACCAAAAATATCCAGCCAACAGCATCCAGTGGGCAGTGTCCTCTGACCACTGATGAAGGACTAGAGGATGACTAACACAAACTGTGCAGCAGCAGATGAGCTATCATCTCTGGCTTTACATCTTATGTCCATGGGGGTCCTGACCACTGAAGAACAGGGTAAAAGGGGGCTAACAAAGTATGCAGAGAAACAGATGGACTACAGTCTGTAATTGTAGAACTACAAAGAGCACCTATATAGTAAGTGGAGCTGATAAAATGCACAATGAGCGTAGAAACAAGGAGGTGGTCATAATGTTATGCCTGATCGGTGTATAAGTTTTTAAATTTGTTTATTCAAGGATCTAAGTTGTCCAATATGCAGATCACCTGTGTGAAAAAGTAATTGCCCCTTAAAATGAATTAACTGTTCCATGACCTGTAGGAGCTATAACTGCAGCCAGTGTTTCCTATAATTTGGTGTCTGCTTTTCAAATTTTGCTGAAGGAATTTGAACTTGAAATATGAGTGAAGTTTACATTCAATAGGGCTGGCTGCTTTTAAGCCTGGTTGTGTTCAATCAGCTGAATCTCATTATCAGTTCCATTTGAAATGTGCTTTGTGTTTGAAAAGGTTCTCTTTTCTTAATATTACATTTGCTTAAAAATCTAAAAGCCTTCGCTGTGGCAAATATACAATAATAGAGAAAGTCAGGAAGGGGGGCATACTTTTTCCTGCCGCTGTGTGAGAATTTTTCCTAACAGTACGGAACTGCTGCATGATACAGTTGTATACAAAAGTTGGAATAGCAAATTACATGTTTTGTTTGTTGCTTTGTTGACATTCAATAGTGAACACATTTATGTATGACATCCATATATTTCTCCGAATTGTAGAATACAATTTCTAATTTTATGCTAATTTTTAACATATTGGAAACAGTACAACACAAATATTAAATGTGCCATAACTTTTGTGCATGCCACATTTTATGTTTTTTTTTTTTCGAATATTTGGCAAATAAACAGTAATTGTGCATTAAAATGTGCAGAAGTGTGTTCTCTGTAGAGGATATGCTAACTTACTTTTGTTGACAAAATCAATAAAACAAAATCATTTGACCAGGGCGTCCACACTTGTGCATATGACTGTTGGTAATGTTGCGTATTGTGTAGGAATCTGTCAGATTTTATTATGTCTTACTAGACCTTTTTGCATTTTTTCTTTTCACTCCTAGGTAATCTTCAGGAAGTGAGCTACACCCACTCCAATCAAAAAGTAGTGGGTTCAAGCAGGGCAGAGAACCGCCTCAGCCGCGCTGCCTTACGAGATGTGTTTGAACTCAACAAGCACTCACAGCTTCCAGCAAACCGTCTGCATGACATAGCTGAGGTATCTACAATGATAAAAATGAACTGTTGTATAGTGGGTTATTAAGTTAGAGTAGTAAATTTATTCATATTATGTTATGTTCAGAATATGAAATGGGAGGAAATTCATGATGCAGAGGCTATGTTATGGTGCAATGTCCTATGAGAAAATAGTGTTTCTCATCGCAAAGAATTTAGTCCATCCAGTTGCCAGCATCACTTACAAATGCAAATGCATTTACCTGAAAATACTAATGTTAGTCTGTGTTGGGGGGGGTCAATATGGTGATATTGTGTTATTGTAATCAGTTATGTTACAGTATGCTTTTCTAAGCATGTCGTGGATATCGTTAATACTTAAAGTGCTACTGACGCACAACTGTTTTTTTTTTTTTTTTTACAAAGTGAGCAGGATTAGGCCTGTTCAATTGGATTTAGGGCAGTGCAGTTCAATGCTGTAAAGCATTGAATAAAAATAATTTTAGTTGTAGTTACTGTATTTTTATATGTAACACTACAGGTTCTATTTTGTCTATTTCTAACTAATTACATCTCAGAAAATATAAATATCATGATGAGTATATGTATCATGAAAATGTCTTCAAATATTATGATATCATGTTTTTGCTATATCGCCCACCTTTAGTCTGTGCCTATATACTAAGGAATTTTATATCATTCATTATTACATTTTTGCATTAATATTTTGAGCACAGAACAAATTCAGGGGTGTCTGTATTGTCCTCAGATTAATACCCAGCAATGTATAGTTGTGTGATGGGAATTTGTATTTGTATTTCTCTGTGGTAGACCCAGTCTGGAATTACCCCGTCATCTGAGTCCATGCACACACGTGGTGGAGAGAAAGACCAGACACAAGCAGACCACAATCAACTGCAGCATCAGGTCACCCACTCCATCAGAACGTCCCACCATACCCACAGTGCAACCATTAGTGTTGGGGAGACACCTGCTACTGTCCGCAAGTAAGTCTGAAAATTCCTTTTTTTCCTCCCAGTGTTCTTCTGCCTCCTGCTGTCACAGCATGCTGTGGAATATCACCTTATATTTCGTGATTGAATGATTGTACAGTACTGTGCAAACGTCAGAGACCACCCTTCATTTATTTGATTTCCAGTCAAAACAGCCATTAAGTACAATGCTATGCTTTTTTTTTCTTTCTTTCTTTTTTTGTGTGTTTAGTGTGTCCAACGTTTCCCTTTATTACAGCTTCCATTTTTTGGGAGATGGCTTTCAGTTTTTCAAAGAAATCTGCAGGGATATTTTTCCATATTTACAGAGTTCAGTCTTAGAAGTTGGTTGCATTTTCCACTTCCGTTGATCAAGGCATTCTCAAACACATTCAGTGATGTTAGGATCTGGGCTCTAGGATAGTCAGTGCATTGTTCTGAGAACACCAGCAGCAACTTTTTTTCAGCTTCTTGCACACCTGTGGATTTTTTTCAGATCTGAAGCAAGAGTGTAGCTTGATTTTTCTCCTGTCTCTTAAAGCCTAAGCACTGTTTATCTGATGGTGACAGTTTTGGTGATCAACCAGATTTTGCATGGTTGTTAGGAGTCTTAGGAGGACTTTATCTTTGAGTGATTTTTGAAACTCTTGTTTTGCCCTTGACTTACTTCTTACTATTGCAAGTGGATTATCCTATATCTAATCTCCTCAGAAATATTTCCTGACAAATGAATAATTTCCAGGCAAAATGGCCATGAAGTTAAACAACTGAAGGATAGTCTCTGATTTTTGCACATTACGGTATGTTTTACATAAAAGTGATCAGTGCAGTCCTATTGTAATGTAATCTGCTCTTCAAAACATGTATTGTGGTTGTTTCTTACACAAAATCGAAAAAATTGTACATAATTATATTATCAGTGAAGCAGATTAAGCTTCTCCACCAATATGTCTAACATCCCATTTTGCCAATTAAATGGGTTTTAAAGCAGGCGTCTCTGCAGTGCTGTACTTAATCGTATCAATTAAGCTGAAAACACACTCACAGGCATGCACACACACAGAGCAAGAGGAAATTCCTGGTAGCGTGAGGCCATGTGCCAGTTCTCTCCACAGCTATGGTGTGCTGCGCCCCCGCCTGGCCCCTGGGGGAGGGGAGAGACCACCCCGGAGCCCTCTCACCCACCCTTTTCCCAAGCCTGGCCAAAACACATCAAGTCATGAGCAAAAACCCTGCTCTGTGAAAGCCTTTTACCTCACCACTAGCCCAAGGACAGAGCCTTCTATCTCCCAAATCATACAGTGTTAGGCTCTGTAATGAGGGGAAAAAAACTTGTTTATTTATACAAGTTTTCCCCTCGATTAAGTCTGCTGTTAAATGATTTGAATCCACACAGGCACGTTTTACAGCTGTTGCTTTGTACATTGTTTTTCCTTCAAATGACAGCCGCTTCTTATAAGAAATCACGTAGCTTTTGAAGTATTTCAGTCTCAGGGTACATCTTTTTTAAATGTTTGAAAACTAGGAGTGGGGTGATCATTTGCTTGGTAATATTGCATCAAGTCCGTTAAAACACAATGTATACATGCATGCACATACACAGTGCTGGGGAAAAGTCAGCGACCGCCCTTCATTTATTTGTTGTTACATTTTCTTTATTTTCCAGTCAAAGCAGCCATTTAATACAACTCATTCATGTATCAGGAAATATTTCTAAGGAGATTAGATAAGATAATCCACTTGGAAGAAAGGAGAAAGCCAAGGGAAAATAAATGAAAATAAATGAAAAACAGTTTCTAAAACGAGTTTTAAAAAAAATGGTAAGAAATAGAGAAATTGGGACTATAATCATGCTAATCACAGTGCTAATAATTAACTAGTAACCATGTAAGACCTAGTAGACCACCGAAACTGTAATCAACAGATAAACAGTACAGCGTTCATTTTTGAAGAAAGAAATAATACAAATTTCATTCTTGCTTCAGATCTGAAAAAATCCACAGGTGTTTCTGTCCATCCTACTATGAGAAGGCAACTCAATGCTACGAGTCTGAAAGGATGTGTAGTTGTCAAGAAGCTGTTACTGAGAAAGAAAATAGACACAAAAGAAGAGCATGTTGAGTAGAACACCAGAGCTGGACATCTGAGATAACCTGATGATTCACATTTTGTAGTTGGGTTGCATGAATCATGAGAAGCAGAAAATGTAACTTCTAAGAATGAACTTTGGAGATTTGAAAAAATATCCCTGATTTCTTTGAAAAAAATGAAAATTATTAAATTGTTACCTTTTTTCCAGAAAAATTAACTTGTACTTGATAGCCGTTTTTGAATGAAAATTAAATGAAAAGTATGGTATTCTAAAAGTAATAATTTTACCCACAAATGTAAATCTAAAAGTGTATTTTTTTATTTCACCTACTATCACTGTATACTGTTTGGTGGAAAGCTTCAGCAGATGTTTTTTGTACCTGCAGACAGCAACTGGAGGAAATGGCGCAGTTCTTCGGAGCAAAGTCTGTTCAAGAGTTTGCAGAAGAACTTGTAAGAAGCAGCTCAGCTCAGCGACTTACCAAACTACGCAGGTTCTACAGCCACATGAGCCCTGAACTCACTGACCTCATCAAACAAACCTTTCCTAAACCTGAGCCGAAACCACCCGTTTCACCGCTCCCTCCTACATCCAATGTGAACAGGCAAAGAACTACCTCAAAAAGGACCCTCTTACACTCAGCTCGGAGACCTCTAGAAGAGAGACAAGAAGCAGATGATGAAAGAGAAACAGTAAAAAAGAAGAAAACGTCTAAGGCACAAAGTGCTGTAGAACCTCAGTATCATCTTAATGGTTGGACTCAGCTTAACACTAAGAATTTGTTCCCTTCACCTGAGTCAGGTCGAAACCCAAGTGAACTACCTCTTAGATCTTCTACAGATGTTCAGCCTAACCTTTCAGCTCGGGCAGTGTGTAACCCCAGTGTAGTCAGTTCATCACTAGTCAGACAGACTTCTAAGGACCAACCGTCATCCTCTGCAGAATCGTCCTCTTTCCCCAGAGCTGACCATGCAGAACCAGGCTGTGCTCAGCCGAACAAAACTCTCATCACTGACCTGATAGGCGACACCTCCATTCTTGATGACCTCTTCAAACCAAAGAGAGGTGTAGATCGACCCAAGCCAGCATCAGCACCCCTGCCCTCACCCACAGAGAGGACAAAGAACAGAGGAAAAGACTTCTGGGACATTTTGAACGAGGGGAATGAGGAGAGCCTTAATAAACTAACAGACCTGTCACAGGTGGAGAAGCTCTGCAGGAGCGTTAGTGTCTCTGGAAGGTCCAAAAGTGAAAATAAACTTGAAAGCTCTCAGCTTTGGAAAAAGAATGAGAAATTCCTTTGGAAATGATAGACATTGGCTGTTGCTGCCTGTTGCTTTTTATGCTTTTTATTTTTTAGTGTAAAATTATGAATGTGAATCAAATGTGAAACTTGCTTACAAGGTAGGACTACTTTTATAAAATATTGTTATTTAAGTGCATTTTATTTTCTTATTTGATGTTGTAAAGCTCTTAACTGCACTCTTCTCACCTGTTTAGTTTTTTTAGATGGTGTTCAGTTCAGCCTGTTTAAATTACCTGAAAAATCCATTGTCTCTGACATTATTATCCAGTTTGGGGAGCCTGTGAAATGAATACACTGACTTTTACCAACATTTTAATATTATTGTGATTTAACAAAACTGTACATACAATACTGTACATATTCAAATCAAATTAGGGCTGCCAAAAGATTAAAGTAATTAATCATGATTGATCGCATTTGTCATATTTGCTCACATGTGGCACTAAAGAAAGATTCTTTTCATTTGAAAGCATTGCACTTAACTAGAGCTATATTAGTGGACAAAACAAGCAGTATGAATGTATTTATTACTGTCAATAACCTAAAAACATTAATGAGTAACAATAATTTGCATCATATGAATGTAGGTCCATAGAGTGAATATAGTTTCCAATTTTTTATCACTGACGTCTAGTGAGAGCAACAGTGGCTGCATGTTCCAACTCCTCTGAGATTGTAGCCCCTCACTGTCAAACTGCTGCATTACATCTTGTTTTGAGGGGAACTATAGTTTTCCAAATTGGTGTTGCTTTTATTAGTTTGCTCTTTGTTGGCTTAGTGATAGTCCTCCTGTGAGCACTGTCCAGCGTATTCTGCCGAATGCATTCTCAAGTGCTAACGTTACTAATGTTACTGATACAGTGTTTTGCTTGTAAATGATGCTTCAGGATCGTTTACAAGCAAAACAAAGTGAAGAAATTCAACATGGCAGTAACTTTTATCAAGAGAGCCATCAATAAAACTTTCCATTTTAAAGCTGGATTTGAACGAGAGGACCACAATGGCAGTCTTTTGGGTGGGCTTTAGGGTGGGCCTACAGACTGTAATGGTCAAACTATGAGAATTCATCTTTAATTGTGTTCATGCATTATTAACGTGTTAACTTTGACTCCACTAATTAACATTAATCATGATTTATTCCCCACAGTGGGCTTTACTTGATAGGGCAAGGCCAGACATCAGTATAGTTGGTGGTCTACAGGGTTCTGAGAAAAACCTTTTCTTTGGTGTAATAAGTTTGAGGGAGAGGCTCAAATCTCTTGGCGCTCTCATTTTTCTCACTTTTTTGTCAGAAGTGAAGCGCTGCTTAGCTCGTTGGCAGCTCCTGCTCTTCTCGTCAGAGGATCTGCTGTAGGGTTTTAGTGCTCAGCGCTTGTAATCCGAGAGGTTGCGGTTTTGGGCAGCTCGTTTTCTGCCTTTACAACCGAAACCATGGCGCTATTAGAGACATAACAATAATCAATGTAAGCCAAGAGCAACCTGAAAGCCTCCCCTCCGTCACGCACCCTCACACATAAACCACAACTGAGCTGAATGAGTCTCTTAAAAAAGAGTTTTGGCAGCCACTGTACTCTTGTAGCATGGACAATTTGCATCCCTTACATTAGGACAACAGTGTCACAGTTTGACAGCAACATAAATATTTTTAACAAATGTGTTTACAGATCATTTACATTGATGGTCATTGATTTCCCTGATCATTGCTTTGTCACCCAGGCCTTCTTCTGCAATAATTTTCAGCCTAACTAAAACCTGCTACTGCTTTTGAATGCAGTAAATAGTCCTCATATAAGTACGTAACTACGCTCAACATTTTATAATATCCACACAGACTCCATGAAGGAGCTGTATGTCATTGTACATTGTCATTTGTCCATTTTTCATTGCTTTCCAACATAATGAAGATGTTGGAAAGTAAAATAAGCTATCTGTCGTAATTTTGTCCATTTTTCATTGTTTTCCACCATTATGATGATGGTGGAATGTCAAATAAGCTGTCATTTTTCTCTATGCTTGATTAGTTCCCATCATGAAGAAGATGGTAGAAAGTAAAATAAGCCATCTGTCATATTTTTTGTCTATTTGTCATTGTTTCTCTGGTTATGGTGTAGCGTTGTCAAGCGAAACGTGACAACAATAATACTTTCATTTAAAATGAATGAAGTAATGTTTTATTCAGGTTCCACGCATAATAATGAAATGTATTATGTTCATGGTCATATGGGCACCATATGGTCTTTCAACACAAGTAGAATGATGGAGGACCGGTTGCAAGTGTAAATCTTGTTACTGTCAGCCCTCTTACTTGCCTATATGTAACAGGCCTAATGATTTGAACACCTAAAGTTACAATATATGAGTTTTAAATAATTTATAACACAAAAGTGAATCTGTATTGAATAAAAAATGGTTAGTGATTTTATATGTTTCTGCTGTGCCTAAGAAGAATAAAAAGAAAATTCTTGAAAGCGGTTTGGGACGAAACCCTCCACTGCGCTGCTGTCAGAACAAAACCTTGTATCTCCTTTTCTGCCGTTTTTCAGTGTTTGACTTAATTTGAAAATGCCTGTTGCCCTTTACGTCTTGTGTAGTTTTCATGATGAATGGACCAAAATTACTTGGAAAAAAGTCTGGTTCCATTGACTGACATTAAAAGTAAAGTATGTTTTTTCCTTCTCCTGTAAAGTTACCGTTTTGGAGATATGAGGTTTTGTTCCAACAACAGCGATTTATTTATTTTAGCTAACAGCTGACTGCACAGTCTGAACATTTCAGACAAGTAAGCTATGTTAGCACAGGTATGTTCAGTAGCTGAAGTCAAGTTTCCTGTCTCAACATTGTAATCTTCTCCTCAACAAATTTAAGTATATAAGCTAAGTTGCTATGTGGCGCCATATGAATTGTTTTTCCAGTAGTACTGAGAAAGCCTGTGCTTTGAGTGGGAAAATGTGAACTCTGCACTATGTGACATATTTGACACAAATATCAAAATAAGCCATTCAAGAGCAGTTACCATTTTAAAAACACACTTTTGAGTGCAGGGGGTCTTTAAAAATGATGTCCACTTTTTTTCGCAGAATGACCCTGTGATGGCCTTTGTGGGATACAGGCTTACTAAGAGTGTAGATCATCCCACAAAGAGTAACTTGACTGACAAAGTGAGATAAAGAACCCTTTTTGCATTGTACCACTTGTATATTTGCCTGTGCCGTGTAAGGAGAAGTGTGTGTATGTGTGTGTGAGTGACACACAGCTGTGTTTGACGTGGTTCAGCTGTTTCACTGAGGCAAGCAAAGAGTTTGAAGAGCAGAAGGAGGAGGAGAAGAGAACGAGTTCTACTTTTATCCTCCTCCCAAGGCGAAATGAGAAAGTGCTGATAGGTATCGGTAAACAGGGAGAAGGGTGCAAGCTACGACAGGAGAGTTCACCGCAACGTGTGGGTTCTCGCTGGAGCCTGAGGGAGACACTGCGGGGGTCTTTTCTTCAGCACCTGTGCAGCTGGATGGCAAATACTGAATGAAAAGGCCTTTTGCTCTGTCTGTGTTCAGGCTATGTTCAGGCTATCGCTATCTTCTCAGAGACACAATCTCACAAATGTCAGGGTCTGCTCACTGTTCAAAAAGTTAAAAAAAGGAATAAAAAATCAAGTTGACAGTTTTCTGCCAAGATGTATTTGGTGTCGAAAGTTTGAATCTTTAGTTTTGCATTGGGCCTACAAGGATGTTCCATTACGTTTTATTAAGGCTGGGATCACTCATTACTTTGTCAGTAACAGCCATGAAATTGATAAATAGATTTTTTGGTTTTTGGTGTCTTTTGTGTACATAGTACCGGGTGATTGAAAAAGATTCATCCGATTTCAAAGCGCCATATTTTTACAACCGTGAGTCTAGGAACCAATCACATACCAGTTGAAAGAGGGGGTCATAGAGTTTCTGACTGTCACCGGAAGATGGCTTCCTTCAGTCTGTGAGGAGATGGACCCCTGAGTGGAAAGCGGTTTGCGTTCTCCGCTTCAATAAGAGTGAATCCGTCATAGCTGTGCAACCTGATTTTCGTCAACAGTGAACCTCCAACAGCTCAGAGCACTCGTTGTTGGTTCCATAACACTGGATGATCTCCAAAATCGCACTGAAAGAGCCGTGAGTAGTGACTCCCGACATGCTCAATCAAGTATGGGATGAATTTGACTATGGCGTTGGTGTCCGTACAGCTGGAGGAGGTTCATATTGAGCACTTCTAAAATTACAACTTTACGCTCACTTAAACCATTTACAATTTACTGCATTGTTCTGTAATGATTTACAAGTGAAATAAATCATTTTAAATCAGATGAATCTTTTTGCATCACCCTGTATAATGTTTGGTCGTTGTGAGGTCTTTTCCTGCCGCATTGATTTTACAGATGAAAAAATGCCCTGAATCCAGTGTGACTCAAAGCAGACACTGGGTAACAGCCTATTCTGCTAAATAGGTCGTTGCTGGTTTACAGAGAAACTCAGCTTTGCTTGGAGCTTCAAACATTAAACAAATCACAGGAGCAGCCATAACTTCTGACATAAGAGATGCCATTAGTATTAATATTTATGTTTTCAAAACTGGTATTAATAATCTTTTCTAGGTCAGTAAAACGCCAAAACTCAGACTTGGTGTGAAAAGGCCTTGTAGGAAATTGAAACTATCCTCGAGATAATGATTGCTATTGTGAATACCCATTGTTTTATACAACGAAAAGATTAATGTTTATTGGTAATTTGTCCTGATCTATTGATTTTCAAAATCTTCCCAGCCTTATTTTTTGCTAAGCTTTGTAGATCCAGCATAAAACTACAGAAGCAACCTTCAGTTTTAGTGGGACAGCTAAGTTTATCCTTAGGCTTAAGCAGAATTCCTCTTTATGAGTTGATCATGGGAAAGGGCTGGTGATGATGGGCTCTATTTAGAACTGTTTCTGAAGACAGAAGCCTTGAAAATCTCAACATGCTCAGAAGATGCTTGTCCTTGTCAGCTCTCCGTTTGGCAGCGTCTGCCACATTATGCAGAAATGCGCTCAGCCATGAGATTTGCTTTCGTAACTCTCCCAATAGTAGATTTGTTCTGTTTGTCTGGAGAAGGTAAAACAGATCTGTTTGGATTGTCTTGATTCACAACAGCCATGCCAGTTACACCCAAAGAGAGGCCTGCTGACTCTCTGTTTATTTACAGATTTCACCGGTGTCATGGATTGTTAAGCAGACCCGGAGGACTGGACCAGCCTTCATTTAACTCATTTACAATCGAAATGCATATTCATCCTTGAGAGAATTATTCTGGGGTTCTGAAAAGTTCAGTATGCTGGGTTTACAGTATGCTGGGACTGCTAGTAAATCTCTTGAGTCATCCTCTCCAAGCCTGAAAATTGTGAGCTCGTTATGCAAATGCAGACCCACTGTTCGGAAAAAAAAACGGAAAAATGCCGTTTAAAGGAAGCGAAGATGACTCATCTGGTTGGTGTGTCCAATGTGTGTGTGAGGTGGGAAAGGGGATTGCTGATTGCAGGTTCCAATATAACACTTTTGGATGGGCTGGAAAAATCCCCCCTTTATTTTGCTGGGAAATTACAGCCGTGGTTCTTGACTAAACTGGTCCACCATCATTAAGAAGGGCCCCCAGGCCCCAGACATGGTGATTTTGCTCCCTAGTGCTGCGTGCGTAACTTCCCCATTTAGCATCGCACCTCACAAAACCATTAGAAACAGGGCATCGCGATTACTTCTCCCTTCGCCTGCCAATGAAAGCGGCCTCCAGGCTGAGATCGTTGGTGCAACTGCTCATTTTAGTCTTAAATGATTACCATGAGCCCAATAACAAACCCTTCTCCCCCTCGGCAGATGCTCAATTTTTAACTGGAAGGTTACAATTACTAAACGAAGGCAAGTCCCAGGTTTGGGATAAATTCGGGGTTTATTTTTGTAGACTCTCGGACTGTGGCAGCTTGTTTACTCTCCGCTGGGTCCGAGCTCTATTTATACTTCTCC